ACCTCAGTTCATGGTCATCCCTAGCGCAGAGTGCCGTCCCTTCACCCACAGCCTCCACCTCTCTAAAGACATCAGCCAGTGATTCTTTTGCCCAGTTCAAGAGAGTTGCCAAGGAGAAAGAAGCAAGGGTATGTGCTTCTCTGTAACATGTGTGATCAGTGTTAAATATTTGTATTTTGTATGTATATTTTGATATATGTTTGTGATTCTCTCTCTCTCTCTTTCTCTTTCTCTTTCTCTCTCTTTCTCTCCCTCTCTCTCCCTCCTTCCCTCCCTCTCCCCCTCACTCACTCTCTCTCACTCTCTCTCTCCCTCTCCCTCTCTCTCTCCCTCTACCTTCCTCCTCCTCCTCCTCTTCCTTCCCTTCCTCACAAATATGTGCGTTAATGTAGCAGAATAGAAGAGAAAATTCATAAATGGATTAATTTATCCATTTAATTTCACCAAATCATTGCTCCTAAAAAAAAATACCTCCCTATAGAAACGTCAGATCATTGAGCAGCAAGAGCAAAGAAGGCAGCAGAAGGAGCAAGTTGAGAAGGAACGTGCAAGACAAGAAGCAGAGAAAGAGCGTGCACGGTTAGAGGAGGAAGCTTTGGATAGGGCAATGGAACAAGCTAAAGAAATTCGGGCCACTCAAGAAGTTCAAAGGTATGTCATAAATATTTGCAAATGGGGTTTACATGTAACAGCGCTTTATGCCTAACATTGCCTTATGCATAGATATACATCAAATGTCTTTATCATAAATCTGAAAATATAGCCTATTATAAATATAAAAATGTAGCTTATTATAACCCCCCCCCCCCCCCCCCTCCAGACGAGAACCAGTTGCCATACGGGAGAGGCCACCCTCAAGTGCAAAAGTGGCCACTCCTATGACAGCCTCAACTTCGCCTCACCCCCAGCTGGCAACACCTGCAGGGCCCCCCAGTTCACATCCCCCTGCCACTCCAACCTCTTCCATAGACAATGCAAAGCAAAGTGACCGCGACAGACAAAAGCTGAGAGAACAAGAACGAAGACGGAGGGAAGCTGTAAGTAAAATTTCATCTTTGCCTAGTTGTTTCTTTTTCTCCTTCTTCTTTCTCTTATTCTTATTCTTCTATTCTTAAAGAAATGTGAGTGAGAGGTGTGTATGTATGTTGATAGATAGATAGATATCTGTATCTGTGTTATTGTAGAGTGATGAGTGAAACCCATTTACTCTTCATATGGCAAGATGGTAGTAGATCAGAAAAGATATCTTGAGTAGTAGTAAAATGTGCTTGTATTTTTTTTTTCTTCAGGTACTTTTGTAATAGGATGAATGTGCTATTTGTTTTATCTGCTTGACATATATTTTTTTCTCTTATTTCAGATGGCGGGTCAGATAGACATGAATCGCCAAAGCGACTTGATGGCTGCGTTCGAAGAACAGTGTGGAAAATAATGTATAAGAATTACCAAAAATATTTTATTAATGTCGGCTCTGTTCCTTGTACACAACTCAACTCAGATATCACCTAAGTCCTTTTATTTGACATGTTTTGTACATATAACTATAGCTGTGTTTATATTTATTATAGTTCAGTGAGAGTTCTTGTTGTTGCTGTACATTTGTGTATGAAACTTATGGATGTAAATGTTACATTTTGGCTGTGAAATCGTCCCTTGCCAATGCATGTTGTCGGCAAGTTGTACAACTGTTGGCCCTGCTGCTTGATGGCACTCTGTTCATTTGGCCAGCTCCGAATTAAGAGAAAAAAAAATTATCCTATTCTACTGAGAACTAAATAACTGTCATGACTGAGCATAAGTGCAAGTGTGGCACATCAGTGGTGCCCTATCTGTAGTGTTACAAGTGTCAACTGAGCTGATCTCCTGTTAAGATTAGCACAAGTCCTAACTTCCAGTTGTCATGCATCAGACCACAGCAGAGGGTTCTGTTTGTCCACAGTAGAAGATACTTTTTCTTTAGGTTGACACCTCTGTTAATTCCACCAACTTAACAATAATTTGATGACTGTAGAAGATTATAGTTGGGTATTTAAGACTTAACCTTTTTATGGTGTACTCTTAAATAACTCATGCGTTTAGAAATTAATTTTTCAGAAATGACCAAGAGTTTTCATGGAAAAAAAATGGTTGAAGAAAAATAGAAAAAAAAATGTTGGCATTAACTCTTGGAAATGTGTAATATAGTTATGCAGTGGAATAGCAGGAGCATCTCAAGTAGCAATATACTTGCTCTGCTGGTGCTTCAAAGCAGAAACAGGACATTATAAATGCTCGCCATGTGAATATTGTTTCTCTATTGGAATTGCTCTTCAGATTCTCAGTTTTCAGCTGGGATTGCTACTCAGCTGTTTACAACAGGTATGGCTTGTTTGCCATACATTAAACTTTCCATATTGACCAACGATTTTCAACTAAGGAAATGTTAATCAATATTAGGTTTAGAATCTTTTTTTAATAAAAAGTGTTAAAAGTATTTGGCCGATAGGCCTGTAGACCATCA